CCCTAAGCCAGATGGCAGCCTGAGTTTCTGTAACAATGTGAGAAAACTAAATGAAATATCTAAACTGGATGACCATCCCATGCCCTGGTTGGATGATTAGATAGAAAGATTGGTTCCAGATACAAATCCATTTTTGATCTTGCTAATGGGTATTGGTAGGGGCAAGAGAAAAGACAGCCTTTGTGATACCACGTGGGCTGTACCAATACATGGTCCTTCCTTTTGGCTTAATGGGACCCCAGTCTCATCTCAAAGAGTCATGGACATTTTTTTTTGTTTGTTTACAAACGATTTTATTGAGTATAAGTAGACAATAAAATAACAGCACATTTTCAAATATTAACAGCAAAAACAAGGCACTTTGGAAAAGTACAATTCAGAAAAAGATATCATAATAATGAAGAGAAGAAACAGAAGAAAAGTAGATTGCAAGTACATGAAATACGTTAATGATAAGAGAAATTGAATAATACGTCTGTCAACAGCATCTGTCAGTCATTGTTCACTGAAAACGTTATCAGTCATGCAATAAATGTCTATAATCCCTCCATGACTCCCATTTTTTATCAAATAAGTGCATCTTATCCAGCAAAGTATAATGAATGTGTTCCATGAGCATTACAGCATCAATTCTGTGCAGGATGGAGGCCAAAGGTACAGCATTGGATCTCCAGTGTAAGGCAATAGACCATAAAGTGGCAATACAAATAGTATGTATCAATCTCATAATGGCATCAGGGACCCCTGGGATATGAGCCCCCAATAGGCAAGTCTGAATAGATAAGCATACTGGGGTACCCGCCAGTGAGGTGGCCACCTCGGATATCCTGCGCCAAATCAAAGATATGGACGGGCAATCCAAAATATATGCACCAAAGTGCCTGTAAAACCACAGCCTCGAAAACATAGAGGGGACGTTTGTGGGTACAATCTATGTAGTCTTGATGGGGTATAATACCATCTAGTTAAAACCTTAAGGGCCGTTTCACGAACCGAAAGAGATCGAGAGCTTTTACAGATATTGTCCACCATGGAATCCCAATCCTCATCCGAAAAAGTGGTACCACTATCCTCCTCCCACCTCTGTCGGTACAACGGAGGCGTATGAAAAAGACAAAGTAAAGATTGGTGATAAAAATTGGAAATAAGACCCCTACCCCTGGGAGAGTCACGGCTGGTACGTTCAAAAAAAGGAAACCGGAGAAGACGGTGTAAGGCCAGAATGTGATTCAAAAAAAGTGTCTAATCTGTCGGTAACGATGGTACTCGCGAAGGGGAATATCAAAAAGCGCGCGTAGCATATCAAAGGTAATGTAAGATCCTCCTCTTTGAAAATCAGATAATCTGATAAGAGATTGATCATACCACCAACGAAACAGTTGAGGAGAAGAAAAAGCTGGTGTAAAAGTTGGATCACCAAAAAATGAAATACCGGGGGGAATAGGAGAGACCAAATTTAATTTAAATTTGTATGTGGACCAAAGTGTCATTGAATGGGTCACTATGGAGTTATAAAAGGTAAGTGAACGTGGAGAGACCCTGGACCACAAGATGCTCGGTAAGTAGAATGGGCATATGGACTGAGATTCAAATTTGACCCATGGGATCTGAGAGTTAATAGTTGCCCACTGTGATAGCTGCGCAAAACGAGCCGAAAGATAATATATCCAAAAATTGGGAAGACCGAGGCCTCCAGTCCGTTGTGAGCGGTATAAAATCGCTGAGGCAAAACGTGCACGCTTATTACCCCAGATAAAAATTATTAATGGTCCGCTGAAATTGGCTCAGAAACGTTTTTGAGACTGGAACTGGAAGTGCTCTAAAAAGATAAAGAAGTTTAGGCAAAATATTCATTTTAACAGCCGTGACTCTACCCAAGAAGGAAATAGGATAACCATGCCAAATCCTCAGTAGAGTAGATAGACGTGATATACACGGTGGATAATTAGCAGCAAATATATCTGAATAACTGGGAGTGAGATTAATACCTAAATAGGATATCCGGTCTGTAGACCAGCGGAATGGAAAGGAACTGCGGAGAGATGCACTTAGGGAATCAGGAATATTAACCGGCATAACTACCGATTTGGTAAAATTAACAGTAAGACCTGACGTTATAGCAAAATCATTCAGTATGACACATAAATTAGGCAATGAAGTCAACGGGTTAGTAAGAAAAAGCATAACATCATCAGCATACATGCTCATTTTAAATTGTGAGACTAACAATGGGTAGCCTGAAATATCCGGGTGTGATCTGATCGCTACTGCCAAGGGTTCCAACACCAGTGCAAATAAAAGGGGTGAAAGGGGACAGCCCTGACGGGTACCTCTACCCAATGTGAAAAAGTCTGAATTGCAGCCAGGGAGCCGTATTCTTGTCTTCGGAGAGTCATATAAGGCGTGTATACCGGCTAAAAATTCGTTATTAAAGCCCATTTTTCGTAGCAAGGAAAACATATAGGGCCAAAGAACACTGTCAAAGGCCTTGTTTATATCCAGACTCATCAGCAAGACCTCTTTAGAATGTAAATTAGCATCTTGAATAACGTTGAGCATGAGGCGAATATTATCAGTGATAAATCTGTCTGGGATAAATCCAGATTGGTCCGGAGAGACCAAAGAGGAGATAATAGGGGCCAACCTGTCCGCCAAGATGCGGCTAAATATTTTCAGATCATTATTCATTACTGAGATCGGTCTATAATTTTGTGGTAACTGTGATCTTTCTGTGGTTTGGTATTAAAGACATGTTAGCCAACAGCATCTCCTCCGGGAACCCACCCCCCTGCAAAACATCGTTAAATAAAGTTATCAGATAGGGAGCCAAAGTAGAGGCAAAATGTTTGTAATAACTAGCAGTGAACCCGTCTGGACCTGGCGCAGTAGAGCTTTTCAGGGCGCTAATTGCACGAGTTATCTCCTCCAGAGTGCAGGGGGCATTAAGAGAAGCAACTTGAGAAGGTGTGAGAGCAGGGAGGGGTATAGAATCCAGCCACGAGGCTGCTGGTAAAACAGAGTCCGACCGTGGAGGGGCTAATAGGTTAGAATAAAAGTTTTCAAAAATGCCCAAAACCTCCTGAGGCAGAGATAAATATAGCACCCGAGTTAGTACGCAATTTATAAATATGTGGGGGGCGCATGGAGTGATTCAGTTTCCTTGCAAACATAGTGGAAGCCGAGTTGCTATGTAACAAAAATGAGGCTTTTGACCAGCGGAGAGCTTTTTCAGTTTTTTGGGATAGCAGAGTATTCAATTCTAAGCGCTTTTGAGATAGTAACTGTTTATTAAGAAGAGATGGGTTAGCAATATGACTTCGGTAATGTGCTTCCAACTCTCGGGTAAGAAGCAGAATTTGCTGCCATCGTTTTCTATTTTTGAATGAAGCCATAGAAATAAGGCGGCCTCGTAGGACCGCCTTATGGGCTACCCATAATGTGGCTGGAGAAATATCAGGAGTCGAATTAGATTGAAAATATTCCAAAATAGATGCAGCTACTTCATGGCGGGAGTCAACATCCGTAAGCATAGAATCATTGAGTCTACATACATGTGAGAGACAAGGCTATAATATTGTGATCCGACCAAGGACTCAAGTGGATGTTCGCTATCCCAGAGTTTGCTAATAAAATAGGGGTGCAATAAATATAGTCTAATCTAGCATAAGAGTCATGTGGGTGAGAATAAAATGAATATTCTCTAGCTCCTACATTATGCGCCCTCCAGGCATCTACTAACTGGAAGGCCTCTAGTCTTTTAGTAAGTGATTTTGGGAAGGCGTGGGAAGAGTGTAAGAGTGAGCTACAGTCCAAAAGAGGATTTGCTACCAGGTTGAAATCACCACCCACCAATAGATGGGGTGACAAAAATCTATCAAGAACATCAAAAAATTTTGAGAAAAAGGTAGCTTGTGCCGAATTCGGTGCGTAAACATTTGCTATTGTAAGTTCTCGGCCTGAAAGGGTGCCCTTAAGAATAATAAACCTACTGTCTGGATCACGGTACACATGTTGAACCTCAAAGGGGATTGAATTATGCAGAAAAATGGCCACCCCTCTACTCTTGGAGGAGTGTAAAGTATAATACCCTTGTCTATAGGATTTGTGAAAATATGTCGGGTGTTTTGCGGCTGCAAAATGTGTTTTCTGCAATAAAATAATTTTAGCCCCTAATCGCCTATACTGGAGAAAGGCTGTTTTGCGCTTGTTTGGCGAATTGAAACCCTGGACATTATACGAGATACATTGAATTACCATAATATGCAAAAATTATTAACATCAGCAAAAAAATACACATTGACAAGACATATACTCGAATTATTTGGCTAGGACCTTCAAGTCCATAACAAATAGATTTACGGGTAGCATTACCAGTCTGGGGGACATCCAGACCCCAAAATGGGGGTCGTGACGTCCACACACCGGCATCAAGCCAACATCATGTACGAAATTTTTGAGGAAAAAAAAGACAAAAAACAGTAAAAGTGAACCAATGATAGCTGCGATAATGAAAAGAGTAACTGAGAGACAAGGATCAGGTATGCAATTAGCTGTACCTGAAAAAACAAAAAATTTCAACATCAAAGGGCCAATCGGGCCCAAACCCTGTCTCCATAACACATGAAAAACGGAGCCGTCACCCCACAATCGGGCGGTGATTCCTCCGGTCATGTCAGGAGGCAGGGTGGGGTAACGTGTCCAAGAGTTGTGAGGCCATGAATCAGTGGGCGATATTCAGAGGGCCCGAAGACCCTTGTAGACTTAAACACATCCAGTTATCAACGAGAGAGCATATATAGTCTATATAAACACAGAAACAGCTCAACAGCGTCCACAAAAACACATATATATATCCCCAAGGTGTAGGGGGTGCTGAAAAATAGAAACCCCGTGGTTGCCACCTATCCCAATCAAGGGAAACCGCAGACCAGGATCATCGGTGCAAGTAATAATAGGCAGGAAGGCATGATCCCATCAGCCCAGTTCTTGTCGGGCCCTCCTCCTTTCCCTCCGTGGAGATGGAGTGTGCCAGATAGGAGAGACACGAGGTGTAGGGGGGGACGCCGAGGCGATGGGGCATCCGCCAGGCCCAACTTGGTCAGGATCTCTCTGCCCTCAGGAAGGGATGTAGCAATATATGTGCTCCCATTATGTGGAACTATCAACTTAAAAGGGAAGCCCCATTTATAATGGATACGAGCTGAAAAAAGAGCTGTTGTAACCTCCTTCATTTTCCTGCGCTTCTCCAATGTAAAAAAACAAAAAAAACAGAATGCGCTTAAATTATAAAATTCATATATCGTGCACAAAAGTCCAAACACCATAAATTTAAATAATCAAAAAAGTCCCCAGTGAACAAATTCTTATCATGCAAAATCCAACGAATTTCTTCTTAAAGAACACCGTGTATTAATCCACCACCAGATGAATGGAATGAACTCACCAGAGCTAGATGCTGATCAAATTATAAATCAGCACAAGCGTATTTGCTCTGGGAGCGATGAAAGAATCCAAGGAAGCAACCCTCTGTAAATTGAAATCCAGACACCAGAAGCAATACTCTGCAGCCACTCTGCGGTATGGCCAGGACCCCTTATAAATCGATCATCCTCCACATAAATGGTAATATCACTCCAAAATAAAGGAAAGGCATGATGTGCAGTAAATAAAAACTGTGTATATTTATTAAAACTCCATTGTACTCACAAAACAAGTGTCCACCTGACTGGTATAACAAGCGGTAAAGATATAAGGAATCGTATAGTGGACGAACTCCGTTCACTGCGGACACCTCGCCGACAGCTGCAGGGAACGTCCTGACGTCATCCAATTAAGCTCCGCCCTACGCGTTTCGTCACTCCGACGTCCTCACGGAGCGGCATGGATCAAGACGTCACATTCATTCATATATACCGCTCGCACTCTGCACAGCGGTACCACTTAACCAATCAAAACGACGCTATAGCAACACACCGCCGCTCAATTGGCAAGGTTATAACTATACAGAAAATTAGCAACCACATATATCCAACATATATTATACTAAATTAAAAGAATGAACTATATTTTACATCAGAACGTTTATCTAAATAAGGATCTTATCACATATTAATAACCCTATAAAGGGGAACTCTATCCCTGAAAAATAAATTACATCAAAGACAAATATTACAATTTAAACAACTATGCCACATATTTCATATGTATTTCTATATCTATAGGAACTCTCCAACATAAAGGTATATACATATATGCATATCCATATAAATCATTCTTATCTATGGGAACCTACAATTACCCTATTACTGTACCCCTCTCACCAAGGGACCTATCTCCAAAAAAATGTTTATTAAAGAGGAACTCCACTCCCAATCTTATTCTATCAAATTCTATGCATATACGTATATCCTCTATTTCAAAACATAACTAATATACAACCCCAATTTTACAAAAATTATTTTTTTTAAAAATTAGTTAAAAAACAGTTCAAATCAATGTCTATATTTAAACCATTTGGTTTCAATACATCTAATTCGTATATCCAAAACGTCTCCCTTTTGGATATTTCATTTATCATATCTATTCCTCTCCAGTGTTTTTTTACACTTTCTATTCCATAAAAGGTTGCTAGACTAGGATCGCTATTATGCTTTAATTTAAAGTGCTTAGACACACTGTGTTTATCGTACCCCTTTCTTATATTGTTAAGATGCTCTCCAATCCTTGTTTTTAATTGCCTCCCTGTCCTCCCCACGTACTGTAAGTGACATGGGCACTCTAGAACATAAATTACATGGGATGAATTACATGAAATTAACGAATTTATCTTATATTCTTTATTTGTACATGTTGAAACAAAACTCTTTCTTTTTTTCTTCGTATCTTTTTTTACTGTTTTACATGCCTTACACTTATTACAATTGAAAAAACCTTGCAATTCAGGAAAGAAATGTTTTTTCTGTTGGCGGGTCTAAAACATTATGAACCAATTTCATCTTCAATGATTTATTTTTTCTATATATGAACTTTGGTTTCTTGGGGATAATCTTCTTTAATGTCTCATCTTTAAGCAGTATTGGCCAATACTTATTGAAAATCTTCTCAACACATCTATATTGATTATTAAAATTAGTAATGAAGGCAATATCCTTCTTCTCCTCTTTCTTTTTCTTATTCATCAAAAGCCCATCCCTATCTTTCTTTCCAATCACCTCTCTTTCAGTTTCCAAAAAGGACTTGTTGTAGCCTTTATCAACAAATCTCTCTATAAGTAAACTAGTTTGATCTACAAAATCTTCTTGTCGGCTACAATTCCTTTTTATTCTAGTGAACTGACTCCTTGGTGTATTGAACAACCATCTCGGATGGTGTCCACTAGAAGTAGGGATGTAACTATTTTTGTCAACATCCTTAAAAAAGGTTTTAGTGTAAATACCACCTTCATATTTATACAATGTGAGATCTAAAAAATTCACTTCTTTGAAATCACTAATTGTTGTAAACTTAATCCATATTGATTGATATTAATGCTATTAGTAAACCTCATCAGGTCCTCCTCAGAACCCCTCCAGATCATCACAATATCATCAATATAACGCCTGTATAGGACTATTTCTGGCCACCTGTCAAAGATATATTCTTCTTCCCATTTGTCCATAACAATGTTTGCTACACTGGGAGCATACTTAGCTCCCATCGCAACACCTTTACATTGCTGGAAAAAGGTGTTGTTATACCAGAAAAAATTATTTGACATGGCAAACTTCAACAATTTAATAATAAATCGTCTCTGAATGGTTTTTATCTTAGATTTTTGTTTTAAAGCCCATCTCACTGCTTCAATTCCATCCTTTTGTTTAATACTAGTATATAAAGCTTCCACATCAATGGTCACCAAAATACAATCCTCAATCCCCCTTACTGTTTTAAGGATATTGATAAGTTCACTACTATCTCTCAAAAACGCTCGATTATTTCTCACTATTGTCTGCAAAAAAGAATCTATATATTCCCCAATGCGGGAAAAAATTGAATTGATCCCGCTCACAATGGGTCTTCCTGGTGGCTTCTGTTTATTCTTATGTAATTTTGGCAAATAATATATAACTGGAATTTTAGGATTCTTAATATAAAGATATTTGGCCTCCTTTTCATTCAAAACCCCGGACTCTTTCCCTTTCTTAATCAACTGCTTTAATCGGTTTTTTAACTCTTTCGTAGGGTTTGATGTTAGAATTTTATAAGTGTCATTAATATTTAAAAGTCTATTCATCTCACATTCATAGTCCTTTTTATTAAAAATCACAATACTTCCTCCCTTGTCTGCTCCTCTAATAACAATATCTTTCCTTTTTTCCAAGTCTTTAATTCCTTGTCTAATTTCATTAGGGGTATATTTTTTATTATTTTTTAGATCCATTTTTTTGATATCAGTTTCAACCATTTTTTTAAAAACCTCTAAAAATTCATTCCCTATATTCTTTGGATTAAATGTTGAAGAGTTCCTCAAATTACTGTGTTGATAAGTATCAGATAATATATTATTATTTCCTTTATTTTTATTCAATTCAAAAAACTTTTTTATATTTACTTTCCTTATAAATTTTTGGATATCAATGAATAAATCAAATTTATTCATATTAACACTAGGTATATATTTTAAACCTAGATCTAATACTTTCAGTTCACTCTCTGTTAAAACTGCATTACTCAAATTAAAAATACCATTATCTATGTGTCTCTTTTCTTTTCTTTTCGCTTGCCTCCTCTTTTTCCTCTATATCTCCCGAGTCTTTTTTTGCCCCATCTATGTCTGGTTCTTTCCATCCTCTGTAATTGGGTCCATAGTATCTCATCCCTGAACCCCAATTCCTGTTGGGGTCTTGAAAACCCCCTCTGTTGGAAAAATTCCCCTGAAAACCACCCCTCCTGAACCAATTTCCTCTACGGCCACCTGGTCCTCTATAGCCAAAATTACCCCTAATGAATCTTCCTCGCCCTTCAAAATAAGGCCTCTGAGTAGGGTTATTTCTTTCAAGCATGGAAATTTGCTCTTTTGTGTGTTCTTGAAACTGAACATTTTGTTTCTTTTGAGGAGAGCTAGACACTCCCATGTTCATAGGCAATTTGGGTTTACTACCAGGGGTCTTTTCAGGTGTGGATTGTTTGGAATCACAATCTTCAACATCTAGTTTATCCTGCCATTTATATACCTTATTGTTTTTATAATCATCTGTGTCTCTATTATATTTCTTTTACTTTTTTGTTCCTGGTATCTTTATCCACTTTCATGATATATTCCTGGACAGTTTTTGATCTTTCTTTGTATTCAGTGGTATCCATGAATGGTACCATAATTTCTTTCAGATCTTTTATTTTAATTTCTAATTTTTTAAGTTTTAATTGTCGCCTTTTTATAATCAATTCCAACAGTTTGCTTTCACAATGGTTAAAGAACCAAAACCATTCCTCCATAAGATCTTTATCATCCAAACCATCATTGGCTGGAATATCCCACCTAAGGGTTTTTTTGTTTTTTTTTGTTTTTGTTTTTTGTTTTTTTATTTTTCACCAATTTTTTTGGGTTAGAGGTTTGCTGCTTTATAGGAGTAATTATTGTTGATTGGCGCTTTCTTTTATATTTTTGCTTCTCCAATGTAGCCGGAGAAACATCTGGAAAAATTTGTAAAACCGAGCCTTCAAAGGAGATCGTTGGAGTGTTGCGAGCAGCTCTGAGTATGTCTTCTTTGGTCAAGAAATCCTTTAGACACAGAACAATGTCCCTAGGCGGTTTATCACTAGGGGGTTTAGGGCGCAGGGCTCTATGGATGCGATCACAGGCAAAGGACCCGGGGCTGCGATCTGGAAGGAGAGATTTGAATAGCTTGGTAACGGTTTGTGAGAGATCAGAAACAGATTCCGGAATTCCCCTGACTCGCAGATTATTTCTGCGGTTGCGATTATCAAGGTCTTCAACCTGTGCCTGCAATTGTAAAAAGGCCGTTTGTAGATGATCATGTTCTCTGGAAAGGTCCCCATAGGCTAGGCTAAGTTCATCATGTTTAGTTTCCAAGCAATCGGTTCTAGAGCCCAATGTGGCTATTTCCTGAGAGAGAACATTAGTGCTTTTGTGTAATTCTGATTGGAATTTGGCGGCCAATTTGGTGTACATGGTTTCCAAGCAAGATTCCAGGTCACCCTTTGTAAGTTGCTGTGCATCTTCACTGACCAGAGTTAATGAAGGAGCTGTGATATCCCGCATGGGTTCGGATGGGGGATGCTCGTTCTGCGTCAACTAGAGACATGTTGCAAATCTCGTGTGTCTTAAGTAGATATGTAGTGAGGGACTTTTGAGCTTGTCCCTTCTTTTTTTTTGGTGGACGGCATACAGAGAGTCTCCCGGGGGTGATCAACTGGAGATTGGATAATAAAAGGAGATAATGACCCCAGGAAACCTATAACGCCCGAATCAGGTTTAGGGTTGTATTTACATAAACGCTGTCAAGCTTATCCGAAAAAAACTATATATTGTAAATACAGTTAGCAAGCTGTGAGGATGTAGAGTGGACATAGGCCGTGGTGCACCCCATTAATAGCTCCAGGATCTGGGAGGAACGGGGGGGCAAGTATAAGACAGAGGATCCCTCATGATGGCCTAAGAATCCTCCAGGGCAAATATAGTCAGCCTATGCACCCCTCCAGGGCAGTATATAGGCCTCAGTGGGTTTCTGGGCCCAGCAAAGGCCTCAATCACAGAGGAACGGGGTCCCTGGAGTGGTGGGCGGGGGCCCCGTCTCCTGAGTCGTCAAAGGGGGATAGGATGGTCAGCATCCACCAGCCTCCTGCACTCACCGTGGCTCGGATGTGAGGGGGAGGAGGTCCGGTCCGGATGCAGTAGGCCGCAGCCACAGGGAACGGCAATATGCTGCGCCGTCTCTTCCCCAGGTCCAGGGGATGCAGAGGATGTCACCAATGTTTCAGGAGGATCCGCCGCCGCCCGGATGGTAGCGGATGCAGGCAGAAACCTCCGGAGTCATGGACCATGCGGCCGCGCTAGGCCGCGCGCATCCACCGCCACAGATGGCGGAGATATCCCCCGGGGCCTCTCTCCCAGGCACAGGGGAAGCACCTAAGGATCCAGCTGCTCCGCCGTGGTCCGCAGCAGCCCGGATGGCGGTGGATTGTATAGGTCGGCGACGGAGCTCTGGATTATGCGGCCGCTCCGGTCGCCATCTTGGACACGCCCCCGAGTCATGGACATTTTTAAGTCCCACAAAGAATATGTTTCTACATATCTACATGATGTCTTTCTTTTGTTCCGGACAGAGATTCCCACCTACAGAAGGTCCAGGCAATTTATATTTTTTTCATTCTGGGTAAGGTAAACAGCCAACCCAAAAAACTGCATAATAGGACTAGAAGCCACCCAGTATCTGGGCTACAGCATTGGGGGAATGGGTCTTTAGTTTTCTAAAAGAAAACTTTGAAGCAAAGCAGACATCGCTCATCACTCAGTTCTCCCCCTCCACTCTGAGCAGAGAGCTGGGACTGTCATTCTCCAGCTCTCTGCTCTGCCCCCCAATGCTCACTGGAGCGTTGGGCTGTGGAGGGAGCAGGAGGGGCTGGCTCAGGCTCTCAGCAGATCACTAGGAGGCTGAGCCAGCTGCCTGTGCAGGGATCTGTCCCCAGCTTGGACTGGCTGAGTGACATCAGCAAACAGTGGACTTAAGCCCTCCTGTCAGCTTAAAATGGGTCAAAGAAGATCAAAACGAACTGCACTTCTGTGATCCACACGAGAAGTACAGTCAAAGCTTTGGCTGTACGTCACCTTTAAGATATTATCTATTCAGGCAGACAGTTATGATTGATTATAAACCATTCTACTCTACAATGGATGGCTTAGGAAAAGGGGAACAATGCAATAGATGGTTTCTACTAGCTCTGCAAGACTTTATATATTGTGTATTATATATTATATGGAACACAAGCCAGGGATCCCACAGGGGAATGCTCATGGACTGTCATGTATCCACTGTATGCTGGCAAAATGTGCTCCATTCTACAGTGCTGAGCAGATGGGGAAGGTATATGAGGCACTGACAGGTAGGATTATGGTCTGTGTGTATGTGTCACCTAGGTTTCCCACACAGACATAGTAAGGGGCTCCAGAGTTTATAGCTAATGTGGAGATAACAAACTTTTTTTTCAGAATCCTAAAAAGTTTTGTTCTGGATCCTGGAGATCCTTGAAGTGCAAAGACTATTTGGCTTTAGCAAATCAACCCCTTAGACTTCATTCCTAGGTCCAAGTCTTACCTACTATCCAGACCTCATTATCAGTTTCAGCTATCTATGGGCCTTTATATACTGTATGTGAGCTGGACGATGATCAGGGCTCTCTTTGCTGCTCTTTCTGCTGTGGGAGCCTGTTGCTGAATGAAAAGGCCAAGTGCTGACAAGACACTAAAAAGGTCCATGTCCTACCTGTTTGTATTAGAGAAAGTATTAGGGAGCAAGAATTGACCAGAGTTCAGTTAGTGAGGACAAGCAGATGTTTGTTTTTAGGTATGGATTTGCTGTACAAAGCCCTCCTGCAATAAAACTGTGCTTGTTGCCTTGCTGAATAAAAAGTGCAAGACGAACTTGCTTGGACTGTACCCGGGTCTTGAGTGAGGTTTACTGTTGCAGTAAACAAAGGGTTAGAACTCAGAGCCATTTCAGCTTTCTTTAGGAACAGAAAACTGATCGCACTGTCCTCCAATCAATGGATGGTGCTGGCCGTGGCCTAGAATGTATTACTCATTTGCAGTTTAGCCTGCAGATATCTCAGGGAATTGATCATAATGCTATCTGCACAGAATTTCAGATCATTGGACAGGAAAGATAGATTTCAGTTTAATGTAGTTGGGTGATGACTGCATATGATTTAGGTTGGTGGCTAAAGGTTATTGCATCCTGGGCTATAAATTTTGAAAAAGCAATCATAACTGCAACTTCACACCTTAGTTTTAGATAAAAATTACAGACTATTGACCTGGGACAAATTATAATGGTCTGTAGGAAAATATTAGTTTATGACAACGTGCACTCATTTATTTCAATGAAACCTATACCATCAAACACAGTATAAATGGAGAAGTACAAAGCAGAAACTTGTTACTGGAGATCTGCCCTTTTACCCTTTTATTCATTTTATATTCATTATGTTATATGAGAATGTTTGATTTTCCTGTATCAAATGGAATAAGCATTTCCACAAGCAATCTAAATAACACCGTTGAGCTTTATCTACATAAAAGTGTAAAGGAAATAACTCAGGAGTAATGCACTGATATAAATCTGCTGTACTTACTGTGTTAACATTTGCTGGCTTGAAACACAAATGACTTCAAAATGTAAAGTCCGCTGGGGATTCTACCAGAAGCAAATGTCTACCCCTCGCATCATTTTTTCCAGACATATAATTCAATGAAGTGATTTCTCCTGGCTTAAAAAAATCTTACAGGCATGTGTGCAATAGATGAAAGTTGTCGTCTTTTCGTCTCTTGCCTGAGCTGACTCCATGTTAATATAATTCCTCCCACATCATTTTTGTGGAATGAAGTTAGGTACTGGAGTGCAAAGGCTCTGCACAGGTGTTTCTTTCTGCAGAAGTGCAACAATCCTTAGGAATTTGTAATGTCTAGAAACTAAGCAGACTGTTTTATATGGGGGATGGGATTTGTTATAATGAAAATGTAAAGTAAGTAGAGAGATGTGTCTCATGAAACTTATTTGGATTGCATAAGTCAATATATTTGGGATATAAATGTACAAATAATAGCTTTATTATTTCTTTTGTGATTTACGTCAAGTATTTTTATATTTTTGCCAATATGGTACTGTGGACCAAAGGTTCAGAAGTGGAGTCTCTGGGGCTGATTTACTAAGGAAGTTGAGAATCTTCAATTGAAAAATTGTGTGAATATTCATTTGATTATTCAGTCAAGTGAAAAGCATCTGCAAATAAATGTGTACTCAAAGAGAACAAGAATTTGCGTTTCACATGATTGGATAATTGAAGTGAATATTCAAACAAATTTTTAAATGAAGTTTTCCAACACTCTTTAGTTAATCAGCCTCTGGCCCCTTGTTTGTGTCATATAATATATTAGGGGCCACATCCTTTGGGGCACCCTCATATTTGATGATCTAGAGCAGAGGTCTCCAAACCTTCTAAACAAAGGGCCAGTGTACTGTCTTTAAGGCTTTAGGGGGGCCAGATTGGCCAGTGGGAGTAAACAAACTGTCAGCTGGAGTAAAGAATGCCTCATCATTGGTTTTAGTGGGAGGAATGGGGTCCCATTGTTGGTATCAGTGGGAAGAATGGTCTCAGTGAAAGGAATAGTACCCAATCATTGGTCTCAGTGGGGTGAAAGGAGCTCTATCGTTGGTATCAGTGGATGAAACTCCCCAAGGGCTAGATAAATAAAAGCAAAGGGCCACATCCAGGCTGCAGTTTGGAGCAAAACAACTGTAATATCTAAGCAGGAATAGAGGTAATTATTTTAAAACCACATTGAAAAGGTGTATTCAGGGGCGGACTGACCATTTGGAAACTCAGGCACTGCCCGAGGGCCCGGGGTCAGTAGGGGGCCCCTTGAAATGCCCCTGGTACCTTTTTCATAGGCTTTTTTGAGTTTGGGCAAGGACACAGGGGCCCCATGATCCCTTATTGCCCGGGGGCCTCATGAGTTGTCAGTCTGCCACTGGGTGTATTTAAACTCAGATTCAATAAAATTGCACCTGTTATCACACCTTCATTAGTTGTGGTACGTATGTATATCCTTTTTTAATTTCAAGTTCTAGCTTCCCATATTACCTTGTGATCCTGCAAGATTTAGCCGTACCAGACATAATCAAGACATGGTGACAGCACTGCCATAAACTGTTCAAATTTCACCTGAATCCTGCAGGCTTGGCTGAAATTTGAGCAATATATGATGCTACTTGGCACTGCTCCATCCAATTGTTTTATTGACATTTGTTGAAGGAGTCTGATGGAAATCTGTTATCCAAAAAGTGCCTGCATCCAATCAGATGTGATGCTCTGGTGCTCTTACAGCTGGCCGCACTGACTGTCAGAATACAGTAGCTTGGGAGATGGGATTTGTCCATCCATGTTGTTAGTATGGATAGAGAAATCTATATAAATCTATATAGATAAATCTGCATGGCCAGCTTTAGTGTTACTTTATGTAGGTGTAGCATTCTCAGGATGGGTGCTCCCCTGGTGCCTACAAGATTAGGTGCAGATGCACTGCATGCCTGCATATACAACTTGACCCACAGACCTACTTTATTACAGGCACAGCCTCTGTACCGCCATGATTGATTGACAGCACTCCA